AAAGGAAACTAAATTGTAGCTCAAAATTTTTGTAAAACCAATGTGACATTTATCACAGACGTGATGATTAAATTTGTAGGCTGGGGGAGCATAGTGGAATTTCTCTTTATCACATTTGTCACATAGTGACGATCTTGAAATTATATTGTGTAACTTCTTAATTTTAAAATGAATTCATATATGTAAAGTCACGTTTTCAATTGACACAAAAAATTTTTAAATAATAAATTTTAAATAAACTTTATAATTCGTTATAAAATAAAGAAAGAAGGGCAGTTAATTACCAACGCATCGCGATAACGTTAATACTCATGAGGTTTTGTTATATGCGACTTATTTTGCTTAGTAATTTTACCTTGTCAGGAGATATCTTTTTTACTTTTTTTTTTTATTACACCTTTAAAAAAGATCATGCAATTAAACATACAATAAAGAAAGAAGGGCAGTTAATTACCAACGCATCGCGATAATGTTAATACTCATGAGGTTTTGTTATAAAGGTATTTTCCTTTAAAATTGTAAATATTTTAATAGTTGTATTAATAATTATATAGGAAAAAAATTTTTTTTAATAAAATATGATTTTTACCAATCTTTTATTTCATTTTTTAAGTTTAAAAATAATCTATTTACATGTTCTTCATCTATATTAATTGCAAATTATTAAAATTTCTCAAAGAAAATAAAATTAGTCAATGAGGAGAAGTAAAAGGGTTGATTAAGGAGGGATTTTTCCCCAATCGGGGCTATAAAATAAAAGTTTTGGCTAATAGTCAGGAAGGATTACACAATCTTTACTACTTGAATCACATCATCGATAACGCAAGTATTAGTGAAGGTTTAATATAAGGGTGTTTTCATTTAAATTAAGAGATTTTAAATAGTAACTTCGCTTTATTAAAAAAAAAACTTTTTTTCCAATACAAAAAACTCTGCCATTAGATGTAAAACCAAGCATAGATTGTTAAACATGTGCCATCTCTAATACATCAATACCTGTGGAGTTTACTAATACTAAAGAGGTATTTCTTTATGGTACTATTAACTATTTATTAAACTATTTATATTTACAATTTAATTACAGATAAATAATTTATTACTCTATTATGAATAAAGGCTATCGTTTATATTACAAATTTAAGAAATGACTGCAGGTAGATGTAACGTTCTTATTATATCTATCTATTAATACTTGTTTTATTAATAGTTATATATGCAATTAATTATCCGTGTACAATATAATAATATGGTGAATGGACATGCATATATTAATAATAAATATTAGTACTTTATAATCAATTCATAATAATAAATAGGACATTTCTTTGAAAGATTTAACTTTCTCTAATGTAATGGCATCAGATATAATAATGGCACATTAAAAGCAGTAGTAAAAGTAGCAGTAACAGTAACAATAGCAGTAGAACAAGAATGAGACGACAGTGGTAGTGGTAGTGGTAATATAGGAATAAAACTCTCGTGTGTATATATATATTTATATATAAATTTTTTGTTCGCTGCGATCAACGTTACACATTCCATATAAATCTTGATTTTCCCTAAAATTTTCTAATTTTGGTAAAAACCTAAATTTTATTTTGTCACATCTTATATCCAATAAAATCAAACTTCCACCATGCTAAGGAAAATAGTTTTTTAACCAAAATCACGTGCAACCCTTTCTTAAAAAATTTTATTGCATTTTTGAAATTTGAGAGCGTGGCGCAGCAATAGGAGGTCTTTAGACCGAGCCAACCATAATAATATGGTTACCATTTTTCACAATCATTCCTTTAAATAAACTAGGATGACAACAAGTGGCAATAATCACCACCATTCTTATGACAAACACTCGCTCATTTTCAAAAACTTTGTTTTTCTTTACTTCTTTTGGCTTTTTCTTTACGTTTTTTATTTTATTATTGACACTTGGTGTTTTTTTTTGACGCGGATTGATCCTTTTCTTGGAAATGCAATTTATTTTTCAAAGATGACAAAATGTGAGTGTTGTTGTTTGGTATGATATGGTTTGGTTCTGAAGACGTTTTAATAACTTAACCAGAGGTACATTTTTTATTTGTATTGATATAATGTGGTGTCTTTTAGTTTATAAATGTTTTTATTGGAATCAATATGTGGAGCAGATCTTGCTGGGTAACTATATAATATCCTCATCAAGATAGTAAACGAATGATTGGTATTTTGCTTTTCATAATTGTTAATAATAATATTATTATTATTATAGTTGCAAGATGTCAAGACAGCATGAATGAAATATTTCGAATATTAATATTGATATTTTATGATAAATTGCTAGTTCTATACCAAAATCATTTTATTATTACTACAATTATATAGATATAAGATGCACATATATGGATACATACACAAATAGCATAGTTAAAAATCTTGTGATTGGTTGATCAATATTTTTGTTTCACGTAATTGATAATCCAATAAAAATTAGCCAAATATTTTTAAAATTTTGTTATTTATAAATTTATTAATTCATTAATTTATTAATTTATTTATTATTAATTTATTAATTTATTAATTCATTAATTTATTAATTTATTTATTTATTAATTTATTAATTATTTTTTCGAATCAAATTAAATTAAAGTTGAACTATATTATGAATTGGAAGTCTGTGAATGTTTGTGAGGTCATAAAATATTTGCTTATTCTCTGCAAAGGCTTTTAGTAGGTGTATAAATAATAAATTAGATCAATTTTATTACATATAATTATAAATTTTTGAAATATATATACCTAATATCCTTTTTTGCAATTGATTATCAATTCCAGGTAGAGATATAATATGGTCTGCATCTTCAAAGTCTGGATTTGTGTTTTGTATATTATTTTCAGAAAATAATTCATTATTTATATCCTCTTCCATGTGCAATCTTTGATTGTAAGAGCTTGTTAACTCATCAATTGCTTTAGATAAATACATGAAACAATAATGGCACCTTCTGTTAATTATCTCGAAGCAACTTTCATGATAGGCATGACCACAGACTAACACATGACTACTTTCTATTGACCTATTAGTACATTCAATTCTATCACAAAAATTCTCTTGACTTGGTGGCACTGGTGTATGAAAACCAAGTGGTAAGGCTCCAATAGGAAATCCTGATTTAAGATTTTGAAAATAGTAATAGGGCTTTTTTATTCTTTTTCCTTCCATTCTTTCCTCAACTAATCCATTGTTTTTCCAAACTTCATCAAAAAAGTCTAACAAGAACAAGGCAGTTTTCTTAACCAAAAAATCTAAATCCTTTTTACTGTATGGATAATTTTGCTTTGGTGAGAAGGCAGCTCCAAGAGAATTCTCATGATGAAAATGGTCTATAAAAAGTGCATCACGTCTCAATGATTTTGCAGTAGATACCTTTGCAGTAGTCTGCCTTCTCAATAGGCTGTGGAAATTTTCCACTGGGTATTCATCAAATATATTTAGGTTGTTCTTGAGTGTGTCAATTACAGGATGTTCTATCTGCATCCAATAATGAATATCTGATAAAAAGGCCAGTGTAATTTTATCATAATTATGACAGTGGAAACGTTTCATTACAGTCCACAAGCGAAATACTGTGCTGACATACTCTTGGAAGTGATTCTGTCGAAAAAGGATATTATATATATCCAAAGTTGCAGGCACCAAATTATCTAATAGATCAAAAAATGTTACATATTGTGGAGTTTTTGAGAATTTGAATTTTTCAACCACAAATCTTCTAACTAATTCCCAGCCTGCATGAGCAAGATACATCAATGTATCTATTCTCCAAGGTTTTGGCTTTGCAGCTAATTTATGTTTCTTGTTAAAAATACTTCTATATAATTGATCAAAAAATGGCCAGAAGGTCAAAAAAACAGATTCTTTTGTATTTAGAGCAAGATGTAGTGGACCAAGGAAAGGAAACAAATGAGTAATTTTTTCTGGAATGCTTGTTTCATTTTCATTTTTTAGTTTTTTAACAATAGCTCGACAAATATATAGTTGGCCAGGAAAATCAGCTGGAATAAATATCACATTATTATACAAGTATTCTTGTATTTCAGGTAACCCAATAAATGTTTTTATTGCTTGCAGATAATCATTGGTATTTTTTAAATTCAATTCAATGAGGTCAACTAGTTTTGTCATGGTGAATTTTCTTCTGTATTTTTCATAAACATCTGGATCATATGAATGCACAGTCAAAGATTCTATAAGCTCATTTTCAGGCATGTTTATAATACTTTGAATAAATTGCCAATTAATTTTTTCACTATTGTAACTATTAACAAATGAAATCATATATTTTTCCCAAAGAGCATTTTTAAGAATTAAAGCATCAACACCATTATGATTATGAATTGGATGATTATTATTTGAATAATATGGAATAGGAGCTACATTTTTATTGTTAAATAAAATTGTTGCCATATGAGCAATTTGTGATATAGAAGTTACACTTGGCACTCTTGTACTGTGTAAATTATGATAGTCATCAATGTTGACAATTAATAGATTCTGAAA